TCTAGTAGGTTTAGGTCGCAGATAATTTTGTCTGAGCTTTTATTCTTGCATGTAATTTATATTTATTTGTTAGTATATAAATTAAGTCTTTATATAGCTTTATGTAATCACTTATATAAAGTATTAAATAAAGATACGAGCAAGACCTCACCTTTAATATTTAAAAAAAAAAAAAATTATAAAAAATATTATGATTCTCACAATTTACTAATTAACTTTGTATTTATATTCTAAGTAAACATGTTCTACATATAAAAATATATTAGTATATATTTACTATACAATTTTAAATTTAAAAAAATAATGCTTAATTTTAGAAATTTTGATTAAAATTCTAAATAAAATATTTTTTTCTTAAATTTTAAAATTATAAAGTAAACATATACTAATATAATCTATTTTTATGTATAGAACATGTTTATTTAGAACATAAAGATAGGATTATTTAGTAAAATTTTAAGATCATAATATTTTTATAATTTTATTAATAAAATTATAAAAAATGATATTATTCTCAAATATTTACTAACTAATACTATCTTCATGCTCTAAATAAACTTACTCTACATATAAAAATATATCATAATGATATATTTTTACTTTATAATTTTAAATTTTAATAAAAGAATACTTAATTTTGAATTTTTAATCAAAAAATTTAAATTTAAGCATCTTTTTCTTAAAATTTAAAATTATAAAGTTAATATATACTGATATGGTATATTTTATATATATAATTTGTTAGAATATAAAAATAGAATTAATTAGTAAAATAGTGAGAATCATTATACATAGGTGTCTAAATTATTTTTGAAAAATTGTATTTATAGCAAACATTTTGGTATTGCTAAATTTTTTATATGAACCTCTTTGAAATAAATATATTATATAATGTATTTTGATAAAAAAAGTTTAAAAATTTTCAGAAATAATTTCGACAAATATGAAAATTAATTTCAGTACTATATAAGATTAATTTTGGCAGCCTAAATACTGTAATTACTTTTTTATTAAGATGGGTAATTTAGACACCCATGTATAAGAATCATATTATTTTTTATAATTTTTTTTTAATAAAACTATAAAAAATATTATTATTTTCAACTTTCTACTAAGCAAATCTCTTTTCAACTTCTAATTAAAATTGTAGAGAAGTGTCTTGTGATAACAATAATGGTTAAAACATTAAATCAACTTAGTTGATCATGAAATATAAGTATTTTAGTCTTCATGGTTATCGGTTTTCTTTATTTATATAAAGAAAAAATTATATAGATGCAAAAACTAAAATACTTATAGCTCGTGATCTGCTGGGCTGATTTTAACATTTTAACTGCCATTTTTAATTGCAAAATATTTCTCTACAATGTTTATTAGAAGTTAAAAAAGGGTTACTTAGTAAAAAAAAAAAAAGGTTTCTTTGAAAAACCCCAAATCCGAAAATTTTAAAGATAATAAAAAATATTTAGTAAACATATCTTCACTGTTTACTATGTTTTGTTACTAAACCTGAACATGTTTATGAACCTTAAACTAAACCTAAACTGAACTTTTTTAAGTTCAGGTTCAGGTTCGGACTCAGACTAGTTTGCAGACTTCGGACCAGACCCGGACCGAACTTATAATTCAGTTTGAGTCCGGTCTGAAGTTCGAAATTAGTAAAATTTAAAGTCCGAGTCTGGTTCGAAGCCGGACCGGACCGGACCGGACCTAGGAGCACTAGTAGCTGCCGGTGACAAATAGATTCGCCTATATTTTTTAACAATCAAATAGATAATTGTGATTGTTATTAAGATTTTAAAATTTTGTCGATCAATTTATAATAATAAACTATGTATTTTCAAAAAGGTATAATTCCCTTTCTAGTAAAGAAAATTCTATTCTATAACTTGCGAATGGTAAAAAAATAATGTGGCTTTAAAACTATGTTGCCATATTTAATATTATATATATAATATATAAATTTCAATAGGTCTCTATACTTTAATAATTTAAATAATATTAAAAAATGGTATAACTCTCTTTATAGTAAAGCAAATTTGATTCTGTAACTTGCAAATGATATAAAAATAGCATGGCTTTAAAACTATGTTGCCATATTTAATATTAATATATAAATTTTACGTAGTATGTACCTATTACTTAATCGTTAAATAACTATTAAAATTTATTAAATTTATAAATTTAGCCAAATTAATAAAATGAATTGAAAAATATCTAAAACTACACAATTTTTATATTATTTGCAAGTTACAGAATCGAATTTGCTTTACTAGAAAGAGTTATAACGTTTTAAAAATACATAGTTTTTATTATAAAATTGCTATAATAAAATTTTTTAATAAATTTGATCGGCATAATTTTAAAAATCTTACTTGGCCAATTATACGTATAGTGCTGAACTATGATACGTACGTAGTATGTAACACCCAACCCCGTACGTACGTACGTGAAACAATTCAATATACTCGTACTATTGGTCTTCAACGCTCCACTGATTAGACTTGATCGATACTACATATAGTTTTGTTGACTGAACATCAGTGTTGAAAAAATATGCTGCGCAAAAAAATTTATTTATACATGTTATTCTATTTTTGTTAATTTTACATTCACAACGAATTTTCAGCACTGCCAATCATTTGAATAAGTTGCATTATTTGTTGTCACATGACAACAATCCTTATACGTAATTGCTTGAATATGATAATGATGTTTATGATGTTTATTATTTTTTTTTTAAAAAGTATTTACATTTTGATAATATATATTTTTTTCTGAAAACTCCATAATAATTTAACCCTTTCTAAAAAAAAAAAAAAAATATAAAAATGATACATTTTCGAATACTTTGATAACTTCATTCATTTGTAATAGGTAGTGGATTCAAATATTTTCCGTGTAATGGAGCCAATTGAGGTAATTTTTTATAGCTTCTATAAAGTATCCATTCATCCCATCTTTTAAATACAATTTTTCTTGGATCAAATTTATCGAATGTTTGATCACTGTCATGACCAGTATCTGCACCTTCGATTTTTCGTGTCGCACCCCACGTAAAATCTAGAAAAAAAAAAAAAAGATAATAATAATAATAATGTGAATAAATATACGTAATTTATAAATAGCATTTTAAGGTAAAATTGAAACATTACCATCAAAGTTCCAAAATGAATATAGAGGTAAAATAACTGTCCAAACCGGTACAGATGATAAATAAACCAAAAACCATAGAACATTTATCGGCTTATAACCTGCAATTACTATCAAAAAAAGCGTAGCAAGATAAGTTGCCACTGCATTGCCAACCTGTAGACCATATGGTTGACCAAATATTAATCCAATAACAAGGTATACTGTGAACATTATAGCAAATGGTGACGTTAAGGTTCCAAACAAATCAAGAAATGATGCGCATTGCATTGAAAAACAAAATCTTCCTGGTAATTCTGAAGATACTACTAGTTCAAATAGGTTGTGAATTGTACCGTTTATCCAACGACGGCGTTGTGAAACTAATACTGAAAATGAGTTGGGAACTATAGTTTTACAGACTGCTCCTGAACAATACATGGTTTTTAAATTTGGAAATGCTCGAAGGGTTAAAGTAGTTAAGTAACGATCCTCACCAAGGAGGAAAAGATTTTTTTGGTGTAGCGTATCAACTTCATTCACCGTGTAATTAGTCATAATGGCATCGTCGATCAAGAGTGGAATTTTATAGCCTTCATCATTGTAAGAGTAGACTTGGTACATACAGAAACAACCAGGAAGACATGTCACACATGCGAATATAGACTCGAAAGTTTTTCCAAGATGATGTGATATATAATATTCAAAGACCTATTTATAAATTATTATCAAATGTATTAACAACACTATTTCTTATTATAATCTTATATGTTAATAATATATTAATTTTTTTACAAACCTGAATCATAGTGACCCAATTTTCAGTTTTATTCATAACCTTAGTCTCTCCACAAATTCCAACAATAGTTGGTTCCTGATTTATACATTCCACCAATCTACTTATACTTTTTTCTTCAACAATAGTATCAGCATCAACCATACACACTATTTGATATTGATCTACTGTCACTCCTGTTAACTTTCTAATTTTCTCAAACATTTCAAATTCTAATTCACACATTGCCGTATTGTGAAATGCATGTTTCAACAAATTCATTAATATCAATTGTGTATCACGTTTACCACGATTTCCAGCTTTAGGTAAATTTTTTTCTGCCGGTGTCCCACATTTAATTACAAGAATGGTAGGAATACGTCGATTTTCGTAATGATAATATCCTGAATAAACTTGTGCCATATTGTGACGTTTAGCTCCTTGACCAATTGCTATATAACTTGCCGGTTTTGGAATTGTGTTATCAAGAGGTACGATAAGACTTTTTAAAATATCTGGTGTAGACTCTGTTTCTCCACTTCCAGTAATATTACCATCAGCAACTATGAAAAACAACTTATGTTGATCCGAGTAATCCGTTGCAGCCAATGAATCAAAACTAGCCTTTAAAGATTCTCGACCTTCACTATAACAAGGAACTGTTACTATCATATATTTTGGACTTTCTTGTTGTGACATTGGTTTAGGTTTACCGAGTTTTCTTGAAAGGTATATATCATAAACAAAAGCTGATAATAATTTTAATAACACATAAAATGTTGTCACAGAAGTTAGTACCACGACGAGTAGTTTCGTTAATGCGCAACCGTATGGAATTCCTTCAACTTTTCCTATTAAAAAGTTATCAAAACATTTCACCACATCATCATGAAGATCTGTATCAGCTATTTCTAAAGTAGCGTCACGTCCGATCAAATTTTCTATCCATGTTCGTGTAAAGTTTTTATCATCACCTAACCAATAATCAGTATTTGATGGATCAAGATATGATGTGAAATCATATACAAAATTGTTATTGACTAATAATTTTTTACCACTAGAACTTGATTTTATTTCATCCCATGAAAATCCAACATAATTATTAATTGATAAAGATTCTAAAGTACGCATTGAATTTTTTGAAGTATGACAATGATATTTTGAATCATTCGGTAACAAAGGACATAAATTTGAACCCGCATTTGCAGGACGAAATCTACAACCAATAGCATCATTGTCCAATGGAAAAAATTGTGAAATATCTTTTCCAAATAATGGATTAATAATCGTAGATAACGAGTCATCAGTCTCTGGTAAGATTGGACGATGAAATCCTGATTTAAAAAAACCACCAGTTTTATAAATTTTTCCACGAATTGTCATGACCAAATTTTCATTTGAATTTGAATTTGTTGAATTACCCCAAAATTCATTAATCAAGTTATTTGGTATTGGTGGTGACTCAGTACAACCTATTGCTATGAATCCAAATGTTAATAAAGCAGCTCCTACAGAAGCGAAAGCTACAACAACGCATAATGCGAATTTTTCTCTCCAAGCTTGTCGTAATTGTGGACTATCCATTCCTCCAAATTTAATTAAGAATTTGTCTAAAACCATAAACGATAATATCCATGATAAATAAACCCACCAAGTATTTTCTTCTCTGGGTGACATCTCTGCGATTAACTTTAAAGAAGTTCTTATTTGTCGACTATTATTAATAGAAAAATGACTCTTTCTTGGGGAAAATTGTGCAGATATTTGAATACTTTTCCTATTAAAAGTGCCTTTTTCGAGAATTGAATCGGATAAAACTTTTGACTCTCGTGAATTAATAGGTTCAGGCATAATGAAATTTTCTATCATATCAGAAACATGTAGGTAGCCACCATCAAGCGCAAGTTGAGCAGCGGTTTTCCCATTAACTGTCTTTAAAGCATTATCAGCACCTGCTATGAGTAATTGACGGACTATATTTGCACGTCCTTTATACGCCGCTAACATTAAAGGTGACCAATGGTACTATTAACAAAAAAAAATTTTTTTTATATAATTTAATGTTTTGAAACCATTCTTTTTTAATTAATAAACTAAAAAAAAAATTTTTTTTCTCATTACCATATCAACAATATTAATGTTAGCACCTCTCATCAAAAGAGTTTCCACAGCAAGCCCGTGCCCATTATGAGCAGCATATGCAATGGCAGTTTTCTCAGTCGTATCTTTTTGATTAATGTTTGCACGTCCACGATCCAACAACATCCTACAAGCATAGGAGTGCCCATGATACGCAGCTATCATAAGTGGTGATACATTACTAATGTTTGATAAATCAACGGATGCATCATTTTTTAGCAGAGTTTTTACCACATCTGCATTTCCAGCAGCAGCAGCTTGGAATAAAGCAGTTTCACCAGATTCATCTTTTTTTCAAAAAAAAAAAAGAAATATATATATATATATATATAAATGAACTACGCATTGACAAAAGGTTTTAAGAGGTTTTAAATAATAAATTTATGTACGTACCTTGTAAATCGATTTCAACATTCGATTTCAACAAATAATTTACAGTATTTTTACAATCTAAAGAAGCAGCAATCATCAAAGGTGTCTTGCCACTATCTTTTATTCTATCAGTATTTTCTGAATTACTTGGATTAATAAAACGATTTAAATCATAATCAGGATATTCATCTAAAATCTTTGCGAGAGTTTGGACATCATCTGTAATTATTGCATTATATACCAATAAATCAAGTTGAGATGACCGAGTTTCTGAATATATTGTGTTAGAAGAAGAGCTGGATGCTACACTTTCTACTATAGCATTTGAAATACGTGTAACTGGTGTTCTTAATAAAGCTTCAGAAATTACATTGTCAGATGTAGCTATTCGATTATTTTCATTTTCGTTTTCGTTTCTAAGTTGTGATTGGTTTAAAAATGGAATTTCAGAATTTACACTTTCAGGTGTTAAAATTTGATCGTTTTCATTTTCGCTAATAAGTTGTGATATCTGTAACGGTGGACGGAAGACAGTTGCATCAGGTGTCGATGTTTGATTATTTTCGTTTGATGGATACATTAGATTGAAAGTTGAAGGAAAAAAGAGATCTATTTTAAAATGTGAATAATGACAGATGGACTCGTATATAAATAATAAAATGAATGAATAAATTTAATATCAAATTTTATCAAAAAATTTGATGAATATTTTTCTTCTAACAATGGAGAGAAATAAAAAATAAAACAAAACTAATTTTTGTGATTTATATGTGTTCGTAAAATTTATTTCTTCATTATCTCATTACATGGGTATACGACCAATTGAAAAGACAAGTCGTTATGATCGTATAAATTACAGATAGCAAAGAATTTATGATTTCCAACCAAATGTTAACGCACTACATAAAGTTGTTTCGGTTCATTGATTAACCCGATATTTTTCGGTCTCATTTCTATTTTGAGCTAATATGATCAACAATCTCAAAAATCTCGCGGATCCCTTTTTCGTTTTAGAAAATAAGAAATCTGGGGAAACGTTAACAATCCTTATACTGATACATTTATTTCTAAGACAATTAATTACCCTATTATATTTTTCTCGGTTTTAAAATAATACCGAGAAGTAGTTAATAATTATCATTTATGAAATCATGAACATTTTTCATAAAAATAATATGGGTGCTGACCGATGTAGGTTGAAGCTTATGAAGATTAGAAGGATTTAAAGAGTTTGTATCATCCTTGGTAAATACTTGATCGGTTTTTAAATGATTCTTCTTTAAGTTAGTTTATTATTTATTTAAAACTATACGGCGCTTTAAAGTGAATCGATCGGAGCTTGAAACGAATCGCGATATAGGTTATATCATCATCTTCACATTACACATGTGTACTGTAACAAAATTCTAATTAGGAAAGTTCAACTTTTAAATTTGCATTATGTAATAGCTCAAGGGTCCAATTAAATTCTCAGGATTAAATCTTTAAATGTACGGCGGAAAAATCGAGCTATTACATTTAAATAAGTAATCGATCATATCCTTATATAAATTCAACTTTTACTTTATTGGAAAATTATAAATTTTTGCATACGTACTGTAATATGAATTACATTTCACGATCGCAAGAAAAATGTGAAATATACGTACGTACATACAGTACGACGTACAATATGTTATTTTCTATGACAGTTAAAACTTTCCTATTCTTTAAATGTTTTTCAAGAAATAAAATTTCATACAATGTTAATTCATTGACTTTCATAATATGAAAATATTAAGACGAATCCGACCGGCCGGCCTTAAGTCATATGAAAAAATCTAAAGTTTTCAAATTTTGATATGAAATCAATTAATTAATTTTGTGTGATCTATATGTGTTGAAAATGTAACAATATTATAATAGGTATTTAATATCGGAAATCGACTTTAAGTTAGAATTTTATTTCGATTTTAAAATTCCAAATTTTTCATCGATTTGTAATTTTTACATTATTTTTAACCTTCAATTATTCATAATATTTTCGGCTTATTGAATTTCCGAAAATATATTAGAACGTCAAATTAGTATTTATTACACTTTTATTACATATGGAACAGTTCGCTTCGAAAATAAAAATAGCTTAATGTATTGAGTCTAGTTAAATAAACTTTCCCTATGAATATATTCTTTTCATAGGACTAATTATCATAAATTTAGCATATTAATAATCTTCAGTGCCACTCCTACGAAAATAATAAACTCAGAACCAAACAATTAACACCCTAAGGCATGCTATATTTTTTTTTAATTATATGATCGTTCGAAAATCATTAATCTCCGTTGATTTGCGACAGCAAATAGTCTATATTCGGAATATACTAAAACCTAGCTGCGCTGTATATTTAATAATATATAAATTAATTTTAATTCGTTGATTAATAATCAAGCTTATAAAAAAATAATTCGACTTTATTAAATTTTTAGAATCACATGAAATTGAGTACCGTAATTTTCAGTCTTTGTTAGAGTACCTGCCTGCCGTCAATTTAGCCGAACTAAATTGTCAGTCTCATTGGGGGTACTAATCAATTTTTAAGGGTGCAATTTCCGAAAGCTACGGTAAACCATGATTGTATGGTCTATCAAATTTCGGTTATAAAATTTATTTGCAAGTTTTTATTTTATTTTCTTCTATTTCAATAAATAGTTATTAGTACTGACAAATGAGAAACCTTCCTTGATTGTACTTCCTCTTCATGCTGGAACAAATCAAGTTAAGCGGGGTATTTTGGCTTATATTGGCAGTGTTTTGCGTGCTTTACGGTATAAAATTTATACGAAATCTATGACAACTGATGAAATGATAAGATAATCATATATGGTGCTAACTGCCACTCTTAACGTTAATAAAAAATTATTATGGTAAAATTTACCAAAATTAATTTTTCATAATTAAAAAATTAAATATTGCAGAAATTAAGTAACAGTTATTTTGTGGGGGTTTCATATAAAATTGATAGTCATTGATCAACGAAGACTGCTTATACATGGAAGCTAGTAAGCGGAGCAAAATTTTTTAATTGGTTCGTTGAATTTATGGATACGTAATGGTTTCGATTTATTGGACATATAGAAAGATATACAGTCTATGCGACATTCCGATCGGGCTAATTCGGACAAAAACAAACCAGACTATCGGTTCATGTTTATATGTAATCTCCTTTCGCCTTTATTTGATTAAATACTTTATAAATAAAAAGGATTTACATATGAACTAACGCTAATACACAGGTTGTTTTTGTCCGAATTAGCCCGATCGAGAATGTCAGTGATTTTCAGGGCAAAGACCCATGTGCCCTATAAGCACATTTTCACATGTACTTTCCTTCGTATTAATTTATGTAACATTATATGGGTTGCCGTCAATAGAAATATGCCATTTAAAAAAATTAATACTGATACCTTAACTTTCACAGCTCATAACTCAATGAATTTTGAAGTTATCTTGAAGATTTAATATTCAAAAGAAAGAGGTTTTCTTTTACTATT